CAGCCCACGGGGTACAGCTGGTGCAGTGCCTGGCTTCCCTTTCAGCCCTGATGGACTCAGCTGGCTGTGATGGTGCATTCCCTCCTCTTTTTTTTTTTCCCCCCTCTTCCTTAATTGCAAATCTGAGTGCTCCTTAAGGAGCTCCCAGAAAAGGAAAAGGTTACCCTGGCCCCAGCCCCGTGGTGCCAAACAGTCTGGTCCAGCCTCAGTCCCAGCTCTGGGGGATACAGACGACCACAGGGCTCTAATCTCCCCGCTGCTGCCTGATAATCTGCTCTGCAATTTGCAGATAGGGCAGTGGAGGCTCCAGGAATGGGGCAAGGGGTGAGGTCCCCTTTGTGCATCTTTCCTACAAAGCACTCAGAGCTCCTGCAGCCACAGAACGTGGAGTTTGAGCTGGAGATGGGGCAATCACCACCATCCTTTCACCTTTCTGGGAGCATTGGAGGAGCCCCAAAATAGAGGAGCCCTTAATCCAGAGACTTCTTAACCAGTTGGACCAATAGGAGGACCATGTCCTCATTGTGGGAGGCAGGGACATAACCACCCTACAAAGGAGTGGGGTGTCCCAGTGTGTCACCAACATGACAGGACAGAAGCACAGCAATTTGCTTTGGAAAGCTGAGATTTCTGCTCAGTTTTTTCCCTCCCCATCAGAAGGAAATGGGTTCAGAGAGCTGCAGGCAGGGGTGGGTCTGCCTGAAAACAACAACGGGGAAAAGAAACAAAAAGAGATATTTAGAAAGAAAATGCACATCTAGGATGGAAATCCCTGCAAACACTCCCTCTCGTGGAGGCTCGTCCCATTGCCCAGTCCTGTTACTTGGAGGCTTTAATGGCCAAACCACCCTCATTTCCTACTGAGGCACCAGGAAGGTACAGGACTGGGAAGTGAGAGACACCTGCATTTATTTACCCTGACCCATCCCTGCTGGGTGCCATTTCTCTTTTAAAGCCAATCTGGGGGGGGTGTCCCCAAGCACTGACATCACCTGGGCCAGGGGCAGCGGGAGGATTGCAGAGCTGAGTGGTGCTGCAGCTCGTTACTTCTCAGCCCAGGGATTTATTTCCCAAAAGTCTTTAACTGATTCCCCCAGCTGTATGGGATTTTGCACCGACAACACCTTTCTGCTGGGAACGGAGCCAGCATCCCCACAAGGTCATTTTGCAAAGACAATTAGGTGCTCCCCTGACAGCGCTGTCTCATTTTAATTAGATCTCATTTCCTAAGAATTACAGAGCATGCCAGGCCCAGGGCTGGAGGCAACAGCCATTTACCGAAATCAATAGGAGTTGAAGGACAGCTGTACCTGTGCTTATGTCACCGCTCACAGCGATGCCGATTCGATGGGGAATAAAAGCAGCCCTTCTGCATGACTTCATCCCTTAATACTCCAGGCCGTATAAAACCCAGCGTGCAGAAGGCAGAGCAGCCCCACCTCTGGCTGTTCACTCACAATTAACTGCCTCGGAGCGAGCATTCCCTGCTCCCCACGGCGAGATGGGCACAGCCAAACTCACAGCAAGAGGGCAGCGCGGCCGCTCGCGGTCCATCCGTCCGCCCCGTCGGGGAAGTCCCACCCAGCTGCCCTCCCCCTCTGATCTGCCCGCGGCGCGGAGCGACGGCACCACCTGGCGGCGGCGTGGGGCGGCCGGGACCTGTGGGAAAAAGTCTTTTTACCCACCTTTTCTTCCCTAAATCCCTTCCCTTTTCCCCTCCCCCCCCCCCCCTTTCCCCCCCCCCCCCTTAAAAAAAAAAAAAAGAAAAAGTGTTTTTCCTCCTGCTCCCACCCCGCTGCCCCTTAGCGGTGCCCATGGCCGCGCAGAGAGGAGCGGTGCGACCTTTGTGCTGGCAGCCCCGTCCCGCCCCGTCGGATGCGCGGCTCCGGGCCGTCCTGGGAAAGGGCCGGGTGGGCGCAGCGGGGCTTCGGGCCCGGCTTTCTCCCAGCATCACCCATTGGTACAGGCGACGGGAATAAACCGACAGCCTCCCCTTTCCCCTTTCCCACCCTATCCTTACAGTGAAGCCAGTGCAACCCGTGCCTGCGGCTCGTAGGCAGCTCTAGGTCCAAATAAACAGCACTCTTTCCCAAATAACGCTTCTAACCCCCCTCTCCAACCCCCCACTCCTGACACCCACACTGACCAAAGCAACGCTGGGAACAGAGGGGCACAGACATCCCGAAAGACAGCCCCCACACTCCCATCTCACAACCAAACATCCCTGTACAAATCCAGGCTTCCCGTTCCCCCACCACATCGCGGCTGGGCTGGGCTAGGCAACCTCAGCACCGAGCAGAGCGGAGGAAAAAGAAGTGGTGAAGGAGGAAAAAGGGGGCTCGAGCAGCCAGTACTGACCTTCTCCAGAAAAACAGCGGCAGCACAGAGCGAGTCGATGCCGGGTGCTGCCCCATATATCGCACACGGCCGCAGGTGCGGGGCCGAGGACTGCCGTCGGGGCGCGCCCTGCCCCGAGCACAGGTGCGCGGGTGCGCAGAGCCCTGCGCGGGTAATTGGGGGTGAGGGCGCGCAGTGGAGTCTCACGGAGGCTCCGGCGCTGCCCTTTGTGCCTCTCCCCGCCACCGGGGCCGGCAGACAGAGCGGCGACCCCGCGGGTAATTGGGGCTGCGGGGCCGTGCGCGCAGCGGAGCGAGCGGAGCCTAATTGGGAGCTGGGGGGGGTGGTGAGGGGCACTGCGCATTGTGGCTGCCGAGGGGCTGCGCGCCCGGCTGGCGGGCGCCGGGATGGCACAAAAAGACACCCCCACTCCCCGCATCGGGACAGAGCAATCCCTTGGTGCAAACCATGGAGCTGCAGGGGCGGCCCGTGGAAGTGGTGAAATCCTATAAACCCCACAGGGCAGTGACCAAAAGTGATGTTCCCCCTTTTTCTCCCAACTTGGCTGCACTATGGGTGCTGCCACCATGTCCCCTCCAGCCACACAATGTGGATCTGATGCGTTGAGGAGTGTGATGGCACTGGGGTAACACACATAGGACAGCAGCACCATACTGGGTTTGTATCCCATTCCCAAATCCCTGCCTGGATTTGGCCACTGGGCCTAAGGAACATGGCAAAGATGTGCCAGGCCAGCGTGTTGGTGTGCACCTCAGCTGACACCAAGGAAAACCTGCTGTGTCACAGCACAACCCTATTGCAGTGTGAGCCATGTGGATTCCTCACACCTGGGTTTGGCCATGGTGGGCACCTGGAGCAGCTCAAATCCTGCACACTCTGCTCCTACCTGCATGTAGAGCTGCAGACCGTGCCCACAGGTCACTGTCACCACCTCTGCAGGGGGCTTCCCCCCCCCCCCCCCCCAATCAGTGAAATGCTATTTGATCCATTTAAACCCCTGTATCTCCCAAGCCAGACTGCCCCCAGGACAGCGAGACCCCAACGTGCATCCCCACTAGAGCTCGTTAGACGCTTCTCGGGAGCTGGGTTTATTCGGAAATAATCCCACCAGCCCGCTTTTAGGGCCTTCCCTTCCCTCCCCTTGTTGAAGCAGTTCCCATTCTGTCTCACTCCACCCCTCTCCTGGCAGAAACAACCGCGGTGCTCAGCCGGGAGCAGCGCTCCTCTCCCGCCGTCGGGGAGCCCGGCCCAAACCCCTCCTTCCACCCCGACCCCCCCGGCACCCCGCAGCGCCGTTATGAGCCGGGCAGAGCCGGGGGGAGCGCCCCGAAGGGGCCGGGCTGGGAGGAGCGCGGCGATACCGCCAGAGGGAGCCCCGCGCACGGCGCTGCGCAGTCCGTGTCCCTCCGCGGGCCGTAAATCTTCCCCGGCGCCGCAGAAGGGTAATTGGTGAGGAAAAGGGCCGCCGGGGCCGGGAGAGGGGGGGAGACCCGCGGAACCATCCCCGACTGCGCGGCGGTGCCGATGCCTTCCCGCAGCCCTTCCGCGGACCGGCAGCTCCGCGCTGCGCACCTGCGGCGGGGGCACGGCCCGAAACACCGAGCCGCATCCAGCGCTGTGTGCGCACGTCGGAGATTTCCGTCGGTAACAGCGGCGGCCGTCGGGGCGGGTAGGGACCGCGGCTCCGCGCTGGAGCTCGGGGGAGCTGCGGGAACAGAGCGCTGCGCACCTGCGGACGGGGCGGCCCCGACGGGGCGGTCCGGCTCTGGTCGTGCTCCCACCGCAGCGCCAGGAATGAATCAGGAGGGAGCCGGTAGCGCTCCGGGTATATTTTTTTTTTTACTGAAAGACGCGAGAGAAGTGATGGGAACCCAACAGAGAGACGCCCGAACAACCAGCACGTTTCAAATCATTGTATCTTTTTATTTTAAAACAAATATAGAGCACAGTCCTGTGATATTTAGATTTATTATACTTCTTTTATTGTTGTTGTTTCGCTTTGTTCTGGAGTGAAAAATAAAAACCTGAGGTTTATTCCTGCATTCTGCATATCCCGCTCTGGAGAGACATTTTCCTACATTTTGGATTCAATTTGTTATTATTATAATTATTATTTCCTTGCAAAAGTCCGTTAAAGAATTGAACTCTTTGTTCTAACGACTCCAAACATTGTGGTACCGGTGGCACTGATTGTCCTGAAGAGCAGGTGGGATAAACAATATTTTAAACACAGTTAAAGAAACCAATATCTCCTTCAATCACAAAGAGCTAAATAGTTTTCATTTACAATATATATGTTCATGTAAAATGAAAAAAAAAAAAACAAAAACAAAAAAAAACAACGAAAAACTTAAATGCGATGAGTTAAACTCTAAATATTATGTACACACCAATGTACAACTCTGAATAAATTAATACCAATTTGCATATTCTGGGATCCTTATAGCTTATTTACACAAATTACCATTTATTTCATAAATACCTGCCCTGCCGCTCGCTCCCTGCGTGGCGGTGGCAGCGCAGCTCCTTTCCATGCTTCGCTTCTTCTTTTCCTTTGTGTTTAGTTTTTCCCCCCTCCCTTCCCCCCCCTCCCCTCCCACCGCCGCCCTTTGCACGGAGCTCTCAGCCCCACCGCCCTCCCCGTCCGACAAAGCACGTAGGGCAGCCCCGTGCCCCGAGGCAGGGAGCAGGGATGGGGGGTGGCACTCGGGGTGGGGGGCGGCTATACGGAGAGCCCCCTCCCCATCCACCCCCACCTTTAATAAATATTTATACTGTGCTGTACAAAAGACCAGTGCTTCTCAGCCCCGGGGGGGGGGGAGGTGGGTGGGCTGCCTGCCCCCCGTCGGTCACTTGGGGGACTCCCTGCCGGGCGACAGCTCCCGCTGGCTCTCCAGCCCGCTCACCAGTCTCTGGATGTTCTGCAGTTCGTTGAGGGATTCCTTCAGGGAACCTTTGGGGGGGGAGACGGCGGGGCGCTGGGCTTTGTGCGCGTCGGGGATGGGGCTGGGCTCACGGCTGCTGCCCGCCTTAGAGCTCTCAGAGCCGGGGTTGAGGCTGGAGGGGAGGCCGGTGGTGAGCAGGTTGGTGCTGGGCGGGATGCTGACAGGGAGCTGGTAGGGGCTGAAGCGCAGGCGAGGGCGGCTGCTGCCCAGGAAGGGATTGCGGGACAGCGGCCCGGCGGCGGCGGCTGCGCTGGTGGCCGGCATGGCCGAGGCGGCTGCTGCTGCTGCTGCCATGTAGGTGTAGGGGTAGGGGAAGAGGCCGCCGAAAGTGGGCATCGGGATTCCCTGCAGAGAGAGGAGAGATGGGAGAGGTGAGAGCTGCACGGTTCCTGCCCTGTGGAAAAGGAGAAGTAATGCGAACACAGCGTGGGGTGACACTGCTGCTGGGTGGGTACGGCTGGGGACCCCCATCGGCCAACTGAGCACAAGCTGTCAGGCATGGGGCTCTCTCCAGGATTTGCTGGAGGCACAGCACCATAGGGCAGCAATGGGGCCTGGTCCCTGTGAGAGCTCGGTATGCCTGGCTGCATGGTATCACTGAGCCCAGATTGCATTAAAACCCGTTGACGGGTCGTATCAAGAAAGGAGGTGAGCTCAAGGTATCTTCGTGCATTTCAGCACAGAGACACAACAGAGGTGTTGGTATTGTGGGGCTGGTGGGGATCTTGAGAGGTGCTGGATGGGTCAGCAGGCAGGGCTCTTCATGCTGCCCTGCCCATGGTGGAACTACAGATAAATCGGAATTCCTCCTTAAATCAGCCCTGGGACCTCCATTCCAAGCATCCCCCCACATCCTCCCCATGTCACAACACAAGCAGTGTCACTGCTTGTCCCCATGGGCTGGGGAAGGCCCCACGAGAGCCACGCTGGGGCCACTCCATGTCTCCCCCCCCCACCAGGGGTAACACTGGGTCTGTGCCCCAATGTGCTTGGCTGATTTCAGGGATTTTGAGGAAAAATGCAGGAGGGCTCCACCACTGTGGGGATGGGGATAGGGCTGTGGGTGGACGCTTACCTGAGAAGCCAGCATGTGCTGGGAGAGGTGGAATGGGAAGGGGGTGGCCGTCCCCGCTGCGCCTGGGGCAGACGAGAGAGCCCCGTTCTCCAGGCTGCCGCCGCCGGTCACCGAGGCCAGCAAATGTCCCATGCCCATAGCGGAGAAAGCCCCAGGGGCCATGGCAAACTGTCCCGGGTGGATGAAGAGTGGCTGCCCGGCACCCAGCGGGCTGAAGAACTGCTGCCCATGGAGCCCAGAGAGAGCAAGGCTCTGCAGATGCCCGGCGCTCAGGTGCGGGGGGCTGTCCGTGTGCACCATCAGCGGGGCGAAGGCCTCCTTGCCCAGCCCGACTCCCTCTGCGTCCTTCTTGCCCTGCTCCGGCTCTTTCCTTCTCCCTTCCACTTTGTCCTTCTCCATGCCCCGTGCTCCAAACAGACCCTCACCGGGGCCGTCCCCCTGGGATGCTCCATCCTTGGCTTTCTCTGGGCTGCGCCTCTCCTTGCCCCGCTCGTCGGTGCACCGTGGGCTGCCACGGGGTGATGTGTCCTCCCCACCGGGGCTGCTGCCCGCTGGCCGCTCCTCAGGCACCTTCTCCACCTCCGCATCGCTGTCAGCCCCCGGCTTCTCCTCTGCAAAGGGATGGAGAGGTCAGAGAGGCAACGAGAGGGTCAACAGACCTCGCCATGGGGAAATGTGGCAGAGGTAAAATGCTGTCACTATTAGCAGGAGAGCTTGGTTAAATGGGAAGGCGGAAATCACAGACTCATGGAATCGTAGTATCTCATCTGTGAAGGGATGGAGAGATCAGAGAGTCTGCAGTTGATTGTCCCCAAGCTAGGAAAATCCGGCAGAGGTAAAGCCCCATCACAATTAACAGGAGAAGTTAAATGAGAAAGTAGAAATTAAGTAATCGTGGAATGATTGGAGTTGGAAGGGACCAAATGTGTTCTCGTGCCGCGGTCATCATGGGGGCTCGCAGGGATTAACAGCAGCTGCCCCATTGCTCTGCCAAACAGGAAAAACACGTTTGCAGGAGGCCTGAGCTGCACGCCGGCATCGCTGCCATCAGCTGTGAACCCAAAGAGGGTGGTGGGGTGAGAGATGGGGAGCATGGGGGCGGCAGGCTGAGGAGTAGCTCTGTATAGATTTAATTATGCCGGGCTGATCAGCTGTGCTCTGTGGATGCACTCCGAATGCACAGGTTGGGTCGGGCGAAGGAGGGAGATTTAGGGGAAAGATTCACCGCCATCTTTGATACAGGGAATTTTAATTTAACTTCATGTAAATGAAGGGCTTTGAGCTCTCAGAGGAAAGGGGGAATTGAGGTGAGGGGATGGTGATGGGCATGGGGTGGTGGGAGACTCGTGGTGCCCCTCCAGCACAACCGAAACCCCAGTGCCGATGGATTGAGGCCAGGGAGAACCTACAGAGAACCCTTTGAAAGAAGAGAGGGTGTCATAAACCCTCCCAGCAGCTCAGCCCAGGGCAGGGGCTGCGGTTTTGATGAAGATTTGCAGGGAATCAGGATGGTGGGAACTTGAAAGAGCAACGGATGGGCAGCGCGGTGCAACAAAGTCCTGCATCAAAAAACAACAACATGGGAACTGCTGGCTTATTTTCATTGCCCAGCTCTGAGTGTTGCAGTGTTATTTGCCCTTTTAAATGTATTAATTTTTTGGGGGGGAGGGGAGCCTTGCACTGGCTATGAAAGGCAGAGCGA